TCAGTACCGGCAGGCCCTCTCCCCCCACTCCAAAGCCGCCCCCTCGACCCGTGACTGGGTCTCCCCAGCATCAGTCAGGGTTCCTTCCCAAGAGAAAGCCCCACTCACGTACCACCCTCCGGAGACACCCCGTTCTCTCCAGACCCTGAGCTGTGCCCACCCCTCTGCCTCCCCTCCCCAGCTGGCCTCCTGCTGTTTCCGGCCCACGGAGCCCGGGCTGCACGCACACGCACACGCACACGCACGCCGCTGACACAGGGCTCCTCGCGTCCCCGCGGAAGTGTGGTCAGCTGTAAATACCCGGGTGATTCATGCTCAAGAAGAGCTGCACAAAAGTTGCTTAAGCAGCTGACAGGTGTGAAGACCCCAGAAGGTGCACATTCCCGGAGAGATCCTGAATAAACGGAGTCCCAGAAACAACAGGTCGCCCTCAGAACAATACGGCGGCCGGCCACCAGCCCTTTGCTCCTCTTTACTTCGGTTCTCCTCCCGCCTCGGGACATTTGGAGGGCCTTTTTCACGGGCTTGTCCTGAGCCTGCGCCTTTCCACCAAACCAGAGGGAAGGGGACAAGGGATGCCATATAAGGGGGTCGTGAAACTCAGGTGATGTCTGGAGGATCGCACACCCCACAGCACTCGGCAGCGAGGGGAGGGCTGTGCGCACGAGGGCATAAGTGACTTGGAGCCATTCTCGGCGTGCCTGTCCATCAGATCCCTGAAAGTCTCACTGCCCTGTCCTCGGGTCCCCTGTCCATTCTTCGGCACTGGGTGGGTGGGCACGTCTCTCAGTTTGCAAACATCCACCGTTGCTTAAGGACTTCCAGGCAGATACACGGGTGGTGAGGGAGGTTGTCAAAACAAGGAAGCGCGAATTTCATGGAAGGCTTGGCGCAGACGGCAAGCGTAAATAAGCGGCAAGTGGGAAGACGCAGCTTCAGAAACTTCGCACTGACACGGCGCCAGCGCCACTGGACACCCGTGGCTAGAAGTGCCTCCCGCGATCTGGCCCAACTGTCGGTCCCGCTCACAGCTATCTGAGCAAAGGAGCAAAGGAGCTGAGAGGCGGCGGACTGGGGAAGCCCCCCGCAGCCCATCCAGCCCCAGTGGCAACGCAGTATCTGTCAGGCCTTCGGAAAGGCCTTGGGAGCTTTCTGGCGCAGCGGGCAGCCACAATGTGCACAGTGAGGGAGAGCACATTCCCTCCTGGTCAGCCCCCACAGCGAAGGAAGATTCTCTATGCCAACGAACTTTGTTTGTTTGTTTTGGAGAGGTTTTTGCTATAGGGCGCCTGTGCTCACCAGAAAGACAGAGAGAGACAGAAAGTGAGAAATCACCCCCCAGGGGGGATGGCCACTCTGCAATCCCTTCTCCTCCGATCTCCTCTCGGGATCTTGGGCACACACGCCCTGTGTGAGTTTAAGCCACCGGGTCTGGGACTTGAACCACGGTCGACTACATGGGAGTCCAGTGACATAGCCAATATGCCAACTGCTGGGCCCACCAAAGAGTATTTACTCTCTAGCCTGGAAATGGAATCTGTTGGTTTCGCCTGTGTAATGAGCTCAGCCACTTGTCCTGGAAAGAGTACCTCGATCTTCCCTGGAGAACAGGCCAAGGGTAGGCTGGGATGGAGGCTGGGCCGACCAACGCAGCCCCACAGCCTTGGGGCTCGGTCGGGGCCTGCTGAGAGCCGCACTGGGCCCCTGGGGAGCTCTCTGGAGGGTCCCTGCACTGACTGGGAAAGCAGGAGGGTTGCAAAGCTGCTGCAAACCAGCACAGGGCCAGGGCCAGCTTACCTAAGACTGAAGCAGACAGAAAAAAGCAAGGAACGGCGGTGTCGTGGTTAAGGCCCTGGACTCCCACATGGCTGACTGCAGTTCAAGTCCTGGACCTGGTAGCTTGCTTTCTCACTTTCCCTCTCTCCCTCTGTCTGTCTCTGGTGAGCGCCCATGTCCCATAGCAAATTAAAATAATAATAATAAATAAGTACACGTTAAATAAGCAATTCTAAAAAGAAATAAACAAGCAGCCTAGGACAGGAGTGGGAACGAGACAGCATCAGGTCATTGGAACCTCTAGGCCCCCCACATGTGCTGCCACCTGCATCAGCAAACCCCCTGCAAGGAGCACCTGA